CAAGATCAAGATTCACATCCATGTAATATATAAATCCAATTTAACCACCGCAACATTTAGAATATCAGGCTAAAATTCCATCTTGGAGTTTTGGTGACTGCATTAACTCTTTTAAATCTTCATTCTCTAGATGTGGAACCAGAACCCCAAAGCAGAATCCAAAACCCCCCCAAATTTATAGTTAACTCTTGTCTAGTTTATGTCTCCTGCATTTCTTGACCATAGATACAAATGTTGCCTAAGCTCAGGGTAGCCTGTAGTTTCAGCAGATGATTGTTTATATTTTATTGATTTATTCTTGTATGCTTCTAATCAGAAGTCTATGTTGTATCTAGTAAAGAAATGCAGTTATATATTGGTCAGCTGGAATGAGGCACACTGTGGAAGTAAAAATACGGAAATAAATTCAGACACTAGCCGTGTCTAGCAGAAATGCATATCTGCAAACCCCATCCACATCTCCAAAAAAGATCAGTGAAAATCAGACAGTAGCATTTGATACAAGTTCCTCTGTCCTGGTCATACACAAGATCTGCTGAAATGTGGCACTTAGTGATTTGGATCTTCAAAGGAGTCAGGAAGAGCAACCTCTTCCTGTCAGAGAGCAACGTTGCCTTGAGTCTTTGAGCACCATCAGCTCAATAGATCTTATTTAGAAACCTCTTCCTTATTTTTTTTTAACTGCCTTTTGAATTTAGCTGCTGCAGATCTGGGATTTCCTGTATTTTACCTGTATAGGTAAATAGCTTGCCCTGTAATATTTGGGATACAGTTCTTATTTCAAGCTGCCTTGTTCTAATTAGTTACCAAATACAGAACAGGCTCTAGAACAGATTCTATAATCTGAATGTAAATAGAATACACTTGATCTGTGATCAACTATATCTGAGGTACAGTTACTGTTTCAGAGTGGTTAAATTACTGTTCACTCATACGAACTGCTACCTGTTTCACTCCTGAAGCAGGAGCTTGACTGTTTGGACCTAGTTATCCCTTGTAATTCAAAAACATGAAATCAGCACCAATAAAACAACACTTCCAAATAAGTTTTGGTTTTTTTTTAAACAAAAATGAAAAACAGTTTCTTCACTGTATGAATAACATACTCAAAAGCAATATGGAAAGCTGGCTTCAGTCTTGATGATGGCTCCAAATAGATGCAATCTTAGCTCTGACATCATGATGGGTCCAAAATGAAAACAAGGCCCACTGGCATTGAGAGAGATGCAGGTCATGGATTCCCCCTGTAGCTTGTAGAAAGAAAGCAAAAGGAACGTGTCATGGCCTGATCCTGTTGGTCCAGTGCCCTGCAATGTGTTACGCTCAGTGAAGAGTGAGTATCTTACATATCTAATGGTTATCCATTATTATTATATTATAAAATGTGAGGAGAGTACACTTACTGAATCCTTTCTGTTCAGGGTGTCTATCAGGTAGAAGAGGGTAACCAAAGAAAATGATTACAGTTACACACCCATTGTTATGTCCTCATTCATACTGACTCAGTGCACTAATTGCATTTGTTCCATACTTACTGCCTTGCTGTTCACACTCTGGAAGCAAGACATCCCAACCTGGTATTAGCCACATGGGTGAGCATGGGCAGGTGAATGAAGAAGCCTCTATGGTGGTTTTTCAGGCTCTTTTTGTGAAAGAGAAATACAAATATCACCCTATTGGCATGCATTTGCCCACAGTCACACAATTGTCTGTTTCACAGACGATATGAATTATGTGCATATGGCAACCAAGCCAATAGAGATTTTAATTCTATCTCATCTTTATCTGTTGCTTTCTGGACAAATATTTTCATAAGCATTTGCAAACCGCATTTTGTATGACCAACCATTTCTGACCTAGGACTTTGTAATAAAGAAAATGTTGCTTACGTTAATCACAGTAGGGCAGGAGATTTGGCACTGGTCATCTCTTTGTCCTTTGCAACGTTCCTCACTGTTTGGGAGTGACATTAGCAGATGTATTTTCATGAGCGATGCCCTAGACTGGTTCTTATCATTTTTTGAAGGCAGAACAGGCGGGACAACATATGTGACCAACAGTCTATAAGGGATGACTGACTACTCAATCAAGAGTATAAGGGGCATTTTAGGTGTCCGTGAGTTGAAGGGAACTGTTTTTTTATTCTAGCACAGTAGCAGTCCTTATATGCTTTGCGCAATAGAAAGTTAAAGGTTTCTTATGACTTTTCTGGATATAGGTATGAGGGACATATGGTATGAGAGGAACCAGCTGTCCAATAGGAACATGGTGAACTCGATTGCTGAGGGTTGCTTGGTGTCCTTTACAACGTATGTAGATATACAGATGTGACTAGTGGTTTCACATCTAAGGTTGCAGTTGTGCATTAGTTAGTTCATGCTCGCATGGAATATTGTGTGCATTACCCTAATTTAATCCAAATTCAAGATGGTAGGATTTGGAGCAGAGATGCACAAACACCCCTTTTTAGCCAAACAGTAGTCCTTTTTCATATTATACCAAGTCAGATGTGATTTATGGCTAATGTTAACCGCTGCTTGGGCATGGAAGAATCTAGAGAGAGGCTGTTTTTGCACTGAAATGGAAATAAACTGCCATTTTCACTATGGACCTCAAGGGAGAATTTCACCTTGCTCTGTGTGAAGCGGTACCTACTCTTGATGTAGTGCAAAATACAGCAGAATACTGTTTAGAGGCACAGGAATAATCTTGGCTTTAATAGTGGCTTCCTCAGTGGCCTTAATCAAGACACTCATCTTCTCTCTGCCTTATTATTCCCAACTGTAAAACGGAGATAACAATGCTCCCTTGCCATGGGGAGGGGTGTTGTGAAGATTGTTTCATATGGTCAGGTTATGCATTGCAAATAATGTTTGTTGCAAATTTAGCTCTTCACTGCTAGCAACTAGTGTTTGAACTAAGCCTAAGAAAGTATTCATTATTCATCTGTGTTGACTGAATAGATTGTGTGATTTTGACCTATTGGGGGGAGAGGGGGATGTTGTAAACTGTTCATTATTTATAGTGAGTGACTGATCACCTAGAATCACATGGGATTAGTTTTGCTCCCTGACTGGCAACCCAGAACTTTAAAGGAAAAAAACAACAACAAATGACAAATAGCAAATGGGTAACTATGAATAATACACTTCTGCTACAAATTTTCAGACAAATAATTGTTTATGCTAGAATGGACAAAGCTGTTGGGATTTGCAATTGTTTTTATGATAGCAGTCACTGTCTGAATATTCCTAAACAATGAAAGATTCCACCAAAATAAAACAACCCTCTCCTGAACTTGCTGCTTTTGTTGGTGAAAATATTCACAAATCGCTTTCTGTATTGTCTGACCAACTCTGCTAATCTATTTGAAATCAGATTATGGAGTCCTTATTGAGTACGGTGTCATGCATCCACTTTAGATGTGAGTAGTTGCATTGTCTTTCCTGAGAATATTTCCGTATGTGCTCACCAGGGTGAATAAGGACTCTACTATCAGGCCCTTTAGTGTTTGAAAAGTTTGCTGAGCATGAAAAGTGCTGTATAAGTGCTAACCATTAGTTTTAGTCAGTAGCAACTCTCTCAACTACATTGTGATGAGGCTAAAATGGGAAACAAAACCCAACAGGTAAATGCAGTGTTAGCAGGAAAGAGATATAGAGAAAGAGAGAGCACAAAAACTGAACTAGTCACTAGGTCATGTAGTGATTCAGTACATGTTAATGCTTCTTTTCTAGTCATACAAAACCAGAATAATGGAAATTCATTAGTGTGTGTGCAAGAGTGGAGAAGCAAGTTGGTAAACACAGGAAAAACAAAACTAAAATTCAATAGCTAAAATGACTACACAAGCATTGGGTAGGGGAAGAAGTACCGATCTCTCAAGTGATACAGAATTTGTGCAGGGTTCATGTGTCCACCTTGGAAAAAAAGAAGCATACTGAGTGGAGTCTGAGTGCACATATTTTGCAAATAGCAACTTAATTGTACACACAATTGTCCTTTTCATTCTTAAAAAGTGTTATGCATCCACTTTAGAAATAGCAACTGAATAATAATACTATGGAATTCTACATATATTAATGAATTATGTATCATAACACCCTCTTATTCATCCCCTGTGAAAGTATTCAAGTATTCTCTCTCCTATTTTACAGACAGGGAAACTGAGTGACTTGATGGGGAGTGGTATTGGAAAACCTGGCTTCTGTTCCTGATTTGGCCATGGAGGGTATGTCTACACTGCAATAAAACACCTGCAGCTGGCCTGTCAGCTGCCTAGGGCTTGCTGGGCTCAGCTGTCTCGGGCTCCCTGGCAGGTCCCAGAGCCCCAGCTCCAGCCTGAGCAGCAACATCTACACTGCAGTTTTGTAGTCCTGATAGCATTAGTTAGCTGACATGGGCCAGCCGCTGTTGATTTATTGCACTGTAGATCACCCTGCATGGCCACGGGACTTAGGGCAAGTCACATAATGGTTCCGTGCCTCAGTTTCCCCAGGTGTAACACAAGGATAAAGATGTTTACCCAGCTTTATACTTAGAGGTCGGTGGAGGGAAAAATGTTAAGCATCAGAAAGTAGTGCTATTGCCCACGATTTCACAGGGAGTTTATGGCAGAAGCAGGGACAGAGCCAAGTCCTGTCCTTAAGCCACACACCCTCCACCTAGCCAGAGGGACAATGCAGAGTTCTAATATCACTCACATAAACTGCTACCAGGTTCTTTCGGGTCGAGCTCCAGAGCCCCACCCTTGCAGCTGGGGACAGGAGCCTGAAGCAGGGTCGGGTGCTCCATGGTGGCCCCGCTTGGAGCAGCCCTTACCCCATTTCCCCCCCTTCCCCCGAAAGTGACCTGTCCGAGTCCGTTAGTCTAATGAACGGTCGGGCGCAGCCAACCAGCTTTGGGTGAGCGGTCCGGGATTCTGCATAAATTACGCGAAGAGCCGAATCCCCAGTCTTCCCGCTGGGTGAGGGGCTGGGCGACCTCCCCTCGGACTAGGTGAATAAATTATGTTAATGAGGCCCGTGAGGTTCTGTCGGGGGTTTGGAGGCGGCGTGCAGCGGGAGCTGTGGCCAGTTCGGAGGGGAGAGCAGGAGAGGGGAAGCCGACGCCGCCGCTGCTGCTGCTGCGCTGTGCTATTGACACACATACAGCGTGAGGGGTATTCAGGGCTCGCACACCCGCAGACCGGGGGCTGGGGAGCCGCGGGGCTGCAGCCACTTGCTGGGTTCCCCCTCGCCGTGCCGTGCTGCGGCTCTTGAACTGAACCTCTTCTTAGGAGGCGAGCCAGGTGGAGGGGAGAAGGGGAAGCAACAAGTCCGCCCGCTCCATCTCCGGGAGGGCGCCCCCCTACCTCCCCATCTCCTCCCCGTGCACCTGAAATCTCGCTGACAAGTGACAGGCGTTTGCAGGCGCCACGCTTGGGATACTTGTCAAAGGTTTTTCTCCAGGCGGGTCGGGGATCTGAAACACTCTCCCTCCCCGTCCCCCCCAAAAAACCACCCTGCTGCTCTGTTTTTGCCCGGCTGGTTTTTTGGGTCTCGCCCTCTCTCCCGCTGGATGGTTGGTTTTTGATCCCTCCCGGGGTGCCGTTGGCAATGAAGGCACTGCTGCGTGCTCTCTCTTTGCATTGAAAGCGTGTAACCCATTTCTGGGCTTTTGCTTTATTTTTTCAGCTGTTTTTTTTTTTTTGCCTCTGTAAACTAATTGTCCCCGCCGGGGGAGGGGAAGGGGGGGCGAGGAAAAACTGCTGCATCTGCAGGGTGGAAAAGCATGTTGGGGAAAAGCCAAGAAGCCAAAAGACAGGATGGCAACGGGGAGCCGAGCTGCCTTGGGGGACAGCGCTGCTGTCCTAGCTGGACTCTGCCCTCCAGTTCGCTGCTGGCTGCTTTTCTGTCAGTGGTGGCTGTAGCCTCCTGTGTGTATCTGGGGGTGAAGACCAGTGATCTACACGCGAGGGTCTCTGCCATCGAGAGCGCCCAAGGGGACTTCTCTGCTGCTGCTGCTTCTTCTTACCAGCTGCTGCCCGGTTTCTCCCTGGATCAGCTAAATTCAATGATGCAAGAAAAAGTGGAGCGACTTCTAGCTCAGGTGTGGAAGACTTGGTGTTGTCTGTGAGTCTGGACATGGGTGGGACTGGGATGTCCTTATGCAGAACATTTAATTAGACATTTCCAACATGAGTTTCTGCTTCACGGATGTGAGCAAACCTATTCCCCAGGATTTATGTTGGAAATGAAAGTAGGGGTTGGGGTGGGGGTAGATGAGTGAGGGGGACCATTCGTGGAAAGGCTAGAAAGAAACATTGGGCACTTGCAGCATAGTGAAACTGCCAAATGTGTGTGTGGCAGAGAGTAGAGGGAGAACTCAAGAGAGAGGGACTCTTGCCGGTGTTTAAAAAATAATATGATCTAATGGAGATTAGGGGAAATCCCTTTATTGAATATTATTGATCCTAATAAATGCTTTACTTGGCGTGGGTTGGATACAAGAGTATCTAAAGTTAAGGCTTGAAAAGAAGCCCTTGGATGTGGCTGTTAAAGTAAGGTGTAGGTTTCAAAGGGCTGTCATAAGGATCTCTCTAGCCCGTTTGGCAGTAGAGTCTGAAATAACCCTGATAGAGAAGTTACCCTTCGTGTATAATGTTATTATTGACTCTTCTCTTACCCGAGGAACCAAAGTTTCTACATTTAATCCATATGCCCTAGATGCTACGCGTGGGGGAAGAGGTAGTTTGTATGGAAATGTAATACCACACAAGTGAAGCTGCGATGGGTAGAAACTCTCTCTCTCTCTCTCTCTCTCTGTGTGTGTGTGTGTGTGTGTGTGTGTGTGTGTGTAGTATAGAAGTAGAAAGT